GTCTCTCCAGGTGTGCCTGTTGTTACAGACATTTCATATAAATGGCATCATATACTGTGTGATCATTTGTGCCTGGCTTCTTTCACTTAGCATGTGTTTCAAGGTTTGTTCACATTGGTAGCATGTATTAGAACTTCATCCTTTGAATTGCCAAATAATATTCCATTATATGAATAAACATCTTATTTATTTAATTTTTTTGAGACACATTTTCACTCTGTTGCCCATGATGGAGTGCAGTGGTGAGATCTTGGCTGACTGCAACCTCTGCCTCCTGGGTTTAAGTGATGCTCCTGTTCCAGCCTCCCAAGTAGCTGGGATTACAAGTGCACTCCACCACACCCAGCTAATTTTTGTATTCTTAGTAAAGATGGGGTTTTGCTATGTTGGTCAGGCTGATCTCGAACTCCTGACCTCAAGCAATCCACCTGCCTCGGCCTCCCAAAGTGCTGGGATTATAGGCATGAGCCACCGTGCCTGGCCATATTTTATTTATCCAGTCATCAGTTGGCAGATATTTGGGTTCCTACCACTTTTTGGCTATTATGCATAGTGCTGCTGTGAGCCTACATGTACAAGTGTTTGTGTGGACATAGGTTTCCATTTTTCTTGGGTATATGCCTTGAAGTAGAATTGCTGGGTTACGTGGTAATTTACTGGTTTAATTATTTGTGGATACCTAGCATTGACCTTCCATATATTAATATGTATCTGTTATTTGTATCTTAAGATAGTATATTTCATAAATGTTTTATATGAATTTTCTCATTGGCTTTTGTTTTATTTCCTTTTTATTGTTAAACAAAAGATTTTTTCTGAAAAAAGATACTGTGTTTAGCCATCTTATTTCTGATGACAAATTCCATTTACTAGCTATCATACACTTTCCTCTATTCTTTATGAAAGTTAAGCAGTGTTTTATTCTGACTATTTGACTATCTGGAGTTGACTTCTTATTTTCTTTAAAGGTGACTTTAGAGATGAGATAGGGAGATGAGGATTTTTAGTAAGGTGGAAGTGGTAGTCAATAGAAAGATTTCCAGAAGGAGCAGTTGACAGTTACCCTTTATTGGCTTGCTTAAGAAGTTCCCTGCAAGACAAAGGAGAAAATGGTGAAAAGGGAAGGTAGTCATTAGTAAAATATCATTTTACTCCTTACAGCTTTAATGTTGCAAGATTCACTTTTAGGGCACACTTTTGAAAGCTGTCTGTCTTATGATCTTTCTCTGGTCTATAGGTTTCCAGAGTTTACTTTTCCTTCATTGTCATCTTCTTTCCCCTTCAAAACCTATGACACTAGGATTGTAAGATGTGGTAATAAGCTCTGCGATTTTCAGTCGTCACATTTAATCATAGTATCTTCCTGGTTTTCAGAAATAACTGAAATCAATTTAAAATAGCAGTTTCTTTAGTCAGTATAGACAGTGGGAGATGGCAGAAATCGTGGGTCTCTTGCTTCCAGTTTAGCACTCTGGGTTGTAAAATTTGGCTCCATAGAAATAAAATTAGGTGGTCAGCTACAGCTGTAGTTAAATTCAGTAATGTGAGAGAAAATACAGGCACTGGGGATCGTGGGCTGTTCATGTCTTCATTTCTAGTGGGATACAGGAGTAATGAAGTTTCTAAGGCAGAATAAGGGTCACAGATTTTCTTTAGGTAATTTTGCGACTTTTCTAGTTTGTCTTTCTTTTTACATGTATTATGCCGTTAATAACAAAACTTTTTAAATTGTATTTTTAGAAGTTCTCCTGGTTCTAGATTGACTGTGATAGCAGTGTAACCTTCAGCAGGTTACTTACCTGTCCCCTTTAGGTCCCAGGTTCCTTGCCAATAAAATGAGAATGAAAACTGTATCTAATAATGGGTATTTGTATTAAGCACAGTGCTTGGAATACATTAAAAGTACTTATGAATTTAGCTCATTGAGTCTACATTGTGCTAAGCTTATAGGCCAGCATTAGCTTAATCTTCTAGTTGTGATCTAAGGACATTTGTTTTTACATTCTTGTCCTACATTTGAGACTGGGTTAGAGAATAAAAGAAGGAAAACAGTGATCCTCCAATAGCTAGAATGATGCCAAGTGGTTCCAGAGTAGAAAGGTGTTGAACGACTAATTAAGACCATACTGATAAAACCAAAACAACTAGAAATAATGTCTGGTTGGAAATACTCATTTCACTTATGGGAGCAAACTTTTTAATAGTTCATAAAATGCCATCTCGGTATTTGGGAGCTAAAAATCATTCAGGTTGTCCATTAAGAAGACTCTCCAGTATAAAACTAGCATATAGCCATCTTTAGGTAAACTAAATAATGTGGGGAACAGAGAAAGCACAGGTTAGCTTCCTATATGATTGTCACCCAACAGAATAAAATTTCACTCACAGCACCTAAACAGAGCAGAGGCCAAGTTTGTCAAGTCCATTTCAGATTTTTTTAAACTTCAATTTTTATTTTATTGTAGTAATAACACTTAACATGAGATCTATCCTCTTAACAGAATTTTTAAGTGTATAATATATTCAACTATAAAAACAATGTACAGCAGATCTCTAGACTAATTTTCGTGCTGTGTAACTGAAACTTTATTTCCTCTAGCATTCTGCCATTTCTGCACACCTTAGCACCTGGCAGCCACCATTCTGCTTGCTGCTTCTATGAGCCTACTTTAGATACTTTATGTCAGTGGAATCACACGGTATTTGTCCCTCTGTGACTGACTTGTTTCACTTGGCATAATGTCCTCAGGGTTCATTCATAGTGTCACATATTGCAGTATTTCCTTCTTTTTAAAGGCTGAATAATATTCCATTGTGTATACACACTGTGTTTTTTTAATCCATTTGTCTGTCAGTGGACATTTAGAATATTTCTATATCTTGGCTATTGTGAAGCATGCTGCTGCAGTGAACATGGGAGCCCCAATAGCTCTTCAAGATAAAGAATGTCTTAATTTGAAGTCTCCTGGACATCACAGAAATAAATGTCTTAAAGAAAACCCTTCCTCTTTTCTTCCACATTTGGTCCTGCTCCCCAGGAAAGCACCTTCATCTACCCAGGTGGCAAGCCAAAATCCTGACATGGTCTTGGTCAAATGCTCTCCCCACCCTCCACGCTGAGTCCATCACCAAGTCCTGTTGATTCTGCCTCTGAAGTATCTTCCTCCTCTGGCTCTTGCCCACATGCCAGCCCACAGTGTGGCATAATGGACCCTTGTGACACTTCTGGTCAGTCTCCACAGCATTGTCACAGTGATTATTTAAAATCCCTCCTTGATTCTCATTGTTCTTAAAGTAAGATTTAGACATTCTCAATGTGGCATCTATATACCAGTCCTTTTCCAGTTCCATCTTTTCCACCCCCACCCTCTGTAATCCAGCCATAGTGGCATTCTTTAAATTCCAGAGGTTTGCTGAATACCCCCTCACCCCGCTGTCCCTTTAGAGTTTTGTACAAGCTCTTCCTTTTGAGGACCCCTTCTACCAAATGAGCCCCCACTAATCCTTCCTCCCAATTGAAGCATTGTTTCCTCAGACAGGCTCCACCCAAGCCCTCGGACCAAATTAGGTTCTATTCTCTTGGCATATCTAAGTATCCTGAACTTTTTCCTTTAGAACACCTTTAGTAATTGGTAAGATTTCTTTCGTTGGGTAATTATTTGCTCAATATCTGGCTGCTCCATTGTCTGTAAGATCCCTCAGGGCAGGGATCATATCTTTTTTGTTCATACTCAGGCCCAGCACTAGATGCATAGTAGAGTCAATATGTATTTGTGGAGTGAGCAAAATAAATCAACATAAAAGTTTAAAAGCACACTTAAATATTGCACAACAGAATGTGTTTAAAACTTAAGGCTCTGGCCGGGCATTGTGGCTCATGCCTGTAATCCCAGCACTTTGGGAGGCCAAAGTGGGTGGATTGCTTGTGCCCTTGAGTTCAAGACCAGCCTGGCAACATGGTCAAACTCCCTCTCTACTAAAAATGCAAAAACTAGCTGGGCATGGTGGCAGGCCCCTGTAATCCCAGCTACTCAAGAGGCTGAGGCATGAGAATCGCTTGAACTTGGGAGGCGGAGATTACAGTGAGCCAAGATCATGCCGCTGCACTCAGCCTGGGTGACAGAGCAAGACTCCATCTCAAAACAAAACAAAACAAAACACCAAAAAACTTAAGACTCTAACTTAATATATGGAATTAAGTTTCTAACCCTCGCATGAAGACCTTTATTAGTTTGTGACTAAACCAGGCATATGTTGCTTTTCTGATCTGTCAAATTTTAGAATTTTTATTACCAAAGAATATATTTGACAACAGAAAAATATATTTTATCAGTTTGACAACAAATATTTATTGATCATCTGCTGTTTGCTTGACATGGTTGTAGATGCTCAGGATACAGCTGGCAGGATGCAGCTTGCTTTCTCATGAGGACAGACAGTGTACATGGAGAATTTCAGCTCCTGAAAAATACTCTGGTCTAAATAAAACAGAGTCATGGCAGGGGCAGGAGGCTAGAAAAGTCCTATGTGAAAAGGTAACATTTCAGCTAGCATTGGAGGGGCAGGGAGTCAACTGCGGGAGATCTGAAGCAGAGCTTTCCAGGCAGAGGGAACGACCAGGCCATTCAGGGAACGGAGGGGTGGGCAGTAGTCCTGGGCACAGTGAATGAAGGACAAACACACACTTTTATGGAGATGCCATGGCCTGAAGTTCTTATTCTGCCCTTTATGGCCGAAGACAATGATGATGTCCAACTCTTAAGAATGTTGCTAAGTAAGGTAATGAAAGTATATAGTAGTAATAATACATATTACTAATAGTTTTAAACATAAATAATATCCCTTCCACAGAATTTGTGTGAAGGAGAAAGTAAATGTTACTTTAACTAATGATTTTATTTGTGTGTTTAATAGTTGACTAATTTATTATCTTTTAAAACAATATCCTATGTTGCTAATTATTTGCAAACATTAATATTTATATTGATTTCTCTTTAAAGGTTAAAAAGCTGAAGAGAGAACTCTCACAGATGAAGCAAGAACTGCTCTATAAAGAACAAGGCTTTGAAACATTGCAGCAGTGAGTATGAAAATACTGAATCAATTTTAGAGTAAGCTCCCTAATAATAATACAAAGAAAATAGAAGTACAGATTACATAAGAGATTTCTCAAAGAAACGTAAGTTCAGAGCTCTACTCCAAAAGAAAACAAAACAATCAATCAACAGATGAAAAACTTGGGAAAGATCTCTACACTTGAAAAGATCCAAAGTTTTTATTAATCATTGGAGATCTAAAGATACCAAAGTGAAAAGCCTTTGTCTTACCTTTGTCTCCTGGACCCTTGCTGGCCTCCTCTGAGATGTGGTGCAGATCTAAGAGACTAGGCACAAGAAGTTCCTCTCCACATTAGACTGGGCCTGCTGCACTTGACCCCTATGTAAGCCTGCAGCTGCCCTGGGCCTTCGGGTGGAGGCGTGTCTGTCTCCCTCTGTCAGCCCCAGGGATGACCTAGAGTCTAACCCTGACAGATGGCAGGGGAACAAGAGCAAGTCAGGATTATCAGTAAAGGAGTGGGAGTGCACGCCTCACTTCTTGCGTTCCTCTGTCTTTCCCGTTTGGTACTGAAGTCTGCTGGGCCATAAGCAGAGCCGTAGGCTGGGCCAGGTTAAGTGGAAAAGGGGGTGACAGTGGGTCATAGGATCAGGATATTCCTTCCCCATTCCCGGCCCCTGAAAGCCACTGAATGCCTGATGCCTTCACTGATATGACGCCTTAAAAGCCCTTGTTTTAGTTCTAGAGCTAGTCTAGAATTACCATTGGTAATTCTAGAGAAAGCCACTATTCTCCCTGCTGCTGAGGCCCAGCCCATGACAAAAAGCATGACAGGCACACCTGGACCTTTCTAATCCTGCAGTCTACTCCACAGGGGGTCTCATGGGAGAGAAGCAGTCCATGGTTTTCACAGCCGCATGACCATGGAGAGGAGGTAAATCTTCCCTCCTGCTTGGTGCCTCCAAGTGCGGTACAATATTTCTAGGGACATCCCTGGTCAGTTTCGTGTTCAGACAGGTTTCATTTTCTTCCTGGCATCTCCCTTGGTAGCACCTCAGTAATGCCAAGCTGGTCTCAGGCGTCACCTCTGTGGAAAGTACCCAGCTGTGTTTCTTTTCCCTGTGGAATCCTATTTTGCCTTCTGCTCTTAGGAAATTCGGGATGCTCCAAGCAGCAAGGTGTCACCCCCTTTAAATATCCTGTGTGTCATTGGCCAGGCAAACTGGTTGTTCTTGTTTGGGTGATTAGTCATACCTTGAGATACCCAGGCGCTGCTCTTGACCACCAGTCAGACACGTGACTTTAATTTCCCACATGTGCTTTTATCACTCAGACTTCTTTTTTGCCTGCTCACTGCATATAATCATGACCTTAATATTCCTTCAGATGCTCCCACCCTAGTGATTCTCAAACCTGACTGCACTTTAGAATAATATGGAGAGTGCTTAGAAAAATAACCTGTTTCTAGTCTCTATGCCAGGTATATGTTATGAGATCCCCACTGCTTCTCAAGTACAGCCATATTGTAAGAACCTCAGCTGGCTGCAGAGCTCCCTGGAAAACCAAGCAGAACTAGAATGACATAAATGCGTTATTTAGTAAATGTTTATTAGCATAAAGCAGGGCTTCGTGGTGGGTAGGGAGACAAAACAAACTTTGAAGAGTGCCATAAAGTGTTTAGCCATATGTTCCACATTTTTAAGGCACATGAAATTATAACTCACGTCACCACTTGGGATTAAAGGTTAGCCAAACTTGCTGTCTTTGTTATATTGATATAACAATGCTGTATTGTTTGAAAGCAGTTTGCTTGCAAGCAATTTTTATAGAAATCTAAGGCATGTTTAAGAATCTGTCAATAACATTCCACAAGAAAACAATAGACATTTGTTGTAGAAATTCAGGCATTCTCTTGCAGTGATTCTAATCCCTTGAACCAAGAGCAGAAAGAGATGATATCTAACGTCAGAGACTTCTCCTGTTTATCTTAACTATAGACAAAATAAAGCTGTTTTTATTCTAATGTTAGTCACCATGCTACTAAAACCCTGAATGATCAGCAATCAAACACAGCAACCAGACTTTTTAAAAAACCACACTCCTGATACTATAAAGGGACTTATATTTGTGGTTATGGCAGAAAAGGTTTAGACAGAATCTTCTTGTAGGCTTTTGTAACTTTTCATTTATTTACAATAGAGTGGAATATATTTGTTGAATCTGGAATTACAATATAATTTAAACTTGAGCTTTCATTTTACTTGGTACAGTAGTTTTATGCTGGGTAGACAAATATGGCATTGTTCTCTACGTTATTCGTTCTAGTTTGTGGTCCCAAATCTGACTTTGGCCTAAGCAGTAGTGTAGCATATGTGTAAATGGATACCAGGAAGATGCATATTTCCATTTGCTGCCTCCAGTGTGCATTCAGAATTGGAAAATAGCCTAGTGCTGAAACAGCAAGTCACAGGCATATACAGATGCTATGAAAATTTGGTTCTCAGGGTAGACATTTTCCAGAGAAGGAATGTAAATGAACATCTTTTCTTTCTCAGAAGAGACTAATATATTGAGTAAAAAATAATTATAGGGCATACTCAAGTCAAGAACTTCCAAAAAAATTTTTAGGAAAAAAATGGCACTTCTCATGTTAAGCACAAAAACCATGATTCTTTAAGTCAGCAAATGATACTCATATTTCGGTTTATTTTATGACAAATTAGGGTCAAAAGAGAAAAGGTGGGAAATGCAAAGTAGAGGAGAAAAACAAGAAAGAGGGAAATAAAGGAAAAAGACAACACTTAGAGAAGTTCAAAGGAGGCAAAAGAAAAAGACCAAAAAACATTCTATGATAAAAGCTGAGCTATGTTCTTCATATCTAGCATTCTGTTGAGCAGTAGATAGCCAAGAAATTTTCCTGTGTTTAAAGCTCTCTGAAATTTAAATTAGCAGTCTTGAGCTAGTCCTGCTTTTATTTTTAAATGTTAAGGTTTATTTCTGAAAACAACTTACCTGCGTTTATTTTCAAATGATAAAGTTTATGTTTATTTCCAAATCAAAGATATGTTTTATCATTAAATTCTGAAGACTTTACACAAATAGGAAGAAATTACTTGAGCTTTAGAAATTCACTTTGACACAATTTCGGATGTCCCATTACATCCTATTTTATAAAATCTCATGGTTTAGTTTTTAGTTTTTATTTTTAGTTAAAAAGTGCTACATCTGAAAACGTCAAAATGGTATATTTGGAAATATCATTTGTTTTGTTTAATAAACCATTTCCTCAGCTAAGTTGGTGGATATAATACTTAAGGGAGTCAGAAATTCCATTGATAAATCTCTTCCCAAATAAATGGAATTAGCTGATAGTCAAAGTCCTGCATTAGTCCCATCAGGTATTCTAAATGTGATAGTCATAAGAGTCCCAGTCCTGAATCTGTCATTTTGGGATAGTTCCCCTGCTAGCTAAGTGTCTGTGCAATTCGTGGTGTAAATTTGCATCAACTTTCTGCCTTGGCTTATTCATTTGCAAGAAGCGTGACTAGGGGATCTTTAGGGGCCCTTCCCATTCTAAACACTGTGTGCGTGTGTGTGTGTGTGTGTGCGCGCGCGCGCACGCCTGCATGCGCATATGTGCATGTGTTTAATCTGTGACTTGATTGGTTGTACTTTATTATCAGATGATCTTATGATCAAGTTTATTTTATTTTCTTAGGTTCTTTAAGTCTTTAATTGCTTGTTCAGCAGCATAAGATAGTTACTAAAACAGTACTTGGGGAAATATGTTATCTACAAGGTGTACTTGTTTGAGTAGACTTTGTTTGGAAGAGTGATTAAGATGGCATTGCTTTATTGTTTTCAGATTATACCTTTCACATTAAAAATAAATATTAAGTATTAAATGTTTTAAACCAAACGAGCTCAGAGTCTGTTTTCTCTGATTCAGTAGGTGTTGTTTCTCTGGAGACTCTGGATATAAGACTCAAAACATGTAAACATGTATAGAGTTGTTGGCTAGGGCAGAGGCATAACCATACATCCCATAAGGAAAACTCGTCCTGTATTAATAACGAATCCAGAACAGCACAGGTAGCTGGAGAGGACCAGGAGAATGATCATGAAGAGTACATTAAACTATTTTTTTTAAAGAATTAGGTAATTTGATCAGGCCCTTCAAACACAAAGAATTAGGTTACATGAAATCCTCTAGCCTAAAGTGACAACGTAAACTGTAAGGATACTTGGTAAGCAGCTCTGCAGGGATAATAAATTAGCTCACTGAAGAGCTGTTTATTCAGTATGAGTTGAGAAATGACCACTGCCCTTCTGCCATTTGCCTAAGTTTGAACTTATTCAGCAAGGCAAGCAATTTTATCTTGACTCATAACTTTCATAAAAGCAGAATAAATACTTATATATATGTGTGTGTGTATATATATCTATATCTGTACATATATATATATATATATATAGAGAGAGAGAGAGAGAGAAATAAAAAAACTAACCCCACAATCCAAACATTATAGAATACTCACTAATATAAATAATAATTTATTGACCATTTATTTAAGGTCTCCCAAGCTGCAGGCCCTGTGCCAGGTTTTGCACAGACGTTATAGCAAAACATTATATAAAATTAGGTGGCAGTTTATTTGCCTCTGTGTTCTTCTGCTAAAGCATTTGCCCATGTCTTTTACCTTTCTTGGGTGAAGATCAGGATCAGCACTTGATGAGGTTTGGGTTCAGCCAGCAGTGGGATCATTCAAACAGATTGAAGACAAAAAGACATATATTTATTTGAGCCCCAAAGTGATTAGAAATGGATTGGGTTTGAAGTGGGGGACGGGAGAAATCTTAGCTGGCTGTGATGAAAAGAGAAAGGAGGGGCCGAGGCGTGTGGATCACAAGGTCAAGAGTTCAAGACCAACCTGGCCAAGGTGGTGAAACCCCATCTCTACTAAAAATACAAAAATTAGCCAGGAATGGTGGCGGGTGCCTGTAATCCCAGCTACACAGGAGGCTGAGGCAGGAGAATTGCTTGAACTCAGGAGGCGGAGGTTGTAGTGAGCCCAGCTCTGTCCAGCCTGGATGGCAAAGCAAGACTCTGTCTCAAATAAAAAAGAAGAGAAAGGAAGAGAAACAACCTGAAAAGATGATTGCTGGTATATGAGAATCAGAAGTGAAATAATTGGCCAACTTAGACAATTCCAAAACCAGTTCCTACTGTCTAACTTATATGCTACCATTCTTTGATATTTTTTCTTTCTTTTTCTCTTTTCAACAGAATCGATAAAAAAATGTCTGGAGGCCAGAGCGGGTATGAACTCAGTGAAGCCAAAGCCATTCTAACAGAACTAAAATCTATCAGAAAGGCCATTAGCTCAGGAGAAAAAGAAAAACAAGATCTGATGCAGGTACATTACAAGACATTTTGTTAAGCCAAACTTGTACCTTCTTAGGCCCCCAGAAACTCTCACTGGGGCAGTAGTGCTCCCTCAGAGTCCAGATGGCCCTTCCATCTCTGTCCCATTCGTGCAGAATGGGCCCTGTGGAGGCTGTTGCAGGCACGAAGGTAGCCTGTTGCCTTGGAGGGAAGCAGAAGGATTCCAAGTGACTGGGACACTTCTTTGTAAGCAGCCTTTGGATGTCCGTTGAGATAGTGGGTGGTGGAGCCTGGAGCTCATGTGAGGAGATTAACATTTTGCTGCACCCTGAAACTCACTGAAAACTTCATATGGGACCCAGATAAGCAGAATTTGCAGCCCAGGATGCACAAAAGATATGTCATTTGCTGTGAGTACGTAGAAGGCATGCTTTTTGGAGATGAGGCTATGTGAGGAGCTTAGAAAAGCTTCTTTCTGACCCAGTTGATTCTGAGATGCCAGCTAAAGGTGGGTGGGGAGTGCCAGCCCAGTAGGGGATGCTTACACAGTTATCCTAGGAAAGCTGCTGATGGCCGTAGATCCCCTTACTAAACCTGTACCCATCTCGGCCTGTGGGTCTTAACTCCCAGTGATCCAGCATCATGTGTGCAAAAAACAAAATAGCCATTAAGTGATCAGTATTCTGAATATCTATACTTAGCAAATACAGTCAAGTTATTTTTAAGGGTGTCTCTCTTCCTCTCCTTTCCTTCATTCCATAATTATCACAAACACTAAGAATTCTTATTTCATGTATTTGGAGTTCTTTACTTAGCTGAGGAATAATTTAGTCCACATCTTTGGGAATCTTAGAGTCATTGATGATGCGTACATTCTCAATAGAACATCTGCATTTAAATACCATATTTAACTACTTCATATTGGTTTTCAAAATATTAGTTGAATATAGATAAAATTCTTGGATCCATGTTAATTTTGCATTTTGGAAAATTTGAAATAACTTATGAGACGAGGTAAAAGACAACAGTCATAATAGCAAATAATTATACATACTGACTTTCTGCCAGACATTCTTCTAACTGCCTTGCATATAAATAATTCCCCTGATTCTCACAACAACCACTAAAGGTAGGCACTGTTATTCTCAGCTTACAAAAAATTTCAGCACAGAAAAATTAAAGTTTATTAAAGTCATACAGCTGGTAAGTAGCAAGACTGTTGTTCAAACCCAGGCAGTCTGGGTTAATGTGGTTTTAACATATATATAACATGTGCAAGATTTTACTTGTGTGTATTTTGTTTTTGTTCCACAATTGTCTTGCTCATTAAGTCAGTAATTCCAGAAATGCATGTCCTTTAAAAAAAAAGTTAATGGAACTGGAACAAATTTACATTGCAGCCTTCTAATTCAACAATTTTAGGTCGTCTTTCATTCTTCCTATAAACTTTGGATTCATATGCAGGCCCAATTAAATTAAAAGATAAGATTCCTTTTCAGTTATTAAAGTACATAGAATAATTAATTAGTAGATGCAGAGATTGACAGTAGAGTTAGAAGGGACTTTAGATATCTTCTGTGACTTTCAAATCTCTCTGACCACAGTAAGAAATAGATTTTACATCAAAAACCAGTAACACGAAATTGTTGTGTACCTATAGATACACAGGTGTGCATGTGCACACACACATACACACTCAAAATGAATTTCACAGAAATATGCCTACTCTTAATACTGGTGATGCACTTTGATTCTATTTTCTAGTATCTTCTATTTCATTTAAAAAATACTAGTAGCAACCTACTAAATTGATTGAATGCATTGCCATCACAGATAAGCTTGAAAAACACTGATTATTTTTTTCACTGTATAGGTGGAAAAATGGAAAAGACTTGAACAAGATCACTATAAGGTTTTTTTTTTGTTTTTTGTTATTTAATGTGACCATTTAAGTTTTATCCTCATATATATATATATATATACACACACATATATGTATATATACATGTATACATATGTATGTATACATATGTATATATACATGTATACATATG